GGTTACTACAGAGTTCCATCTTAACTCATTCTAATCCAGCATTCACTTGGATGTAGTGAAATACAACTAGATGAATAAAGCAAACTGTATGGTACAGGACTTAAAACTGTTTCCAGCTACAGCACATTCATGTTGAGGTAGAAATAATATTAGAAGTGACCCATAAGCTCTTCTCCTTTCTTTCCTTGGTGTCATACACTTGTGAGGACACATGACTTTTCCTTTTGCTGCTCACTAACTCAGGTGAGGAGTTCCAGAGGTCAGACTGCAGCCGCACGCCTCACCCCGTCATGCTGGAGCTCCCTGGTTCAGAGCAAGAGCATCTGCCAGTGATAAAGGCAGAAAGAGCAGCACCAGCATCTCTGCACATGACCAAGACTGTGCCTTGGTTTAAAACACTGTTAAAGGATTTGTGAGAGGGAAAGGAGGAGGAGGATCATGATGTGGAGATCCCCCCTCAGCATTTACATCAGGCCTCAGCAGTCTCAGCTGTGTGCATTAACACTGGAGCACTACATATGTTCATCCATATTTATGACACACACCAAGCACTTCAGAAGTGCTGGCGGGTGGCAGTGAGGGACTGAGTATGCAGAAAGCAGGCTGCAAGCAGCAAACTTAACACCTACCACAAGGATCCTTCTGCACATACTTCTTGAAAGTGTAGAGAAACCAATTCCCCCCTGACATCCAGAAAGGCTCTACTGAGCTTCAAGTTTTCCTCTGCAAATAACCAAGGTGTTAGAAGTTCTTCAAGAACTGTTGGAAAAACCTCACAAAATGGAAAGTTTTAAGCCCTGTCATCATGGGGATTACAGCCTTATCTCCTACCCTGCTCCCGAGATCCTGAAGCTGTTCCCAAGAACTCCGTGTGCTAAACTGACTTGGCAGGCTTCCACCTCTGTATTTGGATATCTGGTGCTAATTGCTTGTCCAAGGTATCACACTAACTCCTTTTCTGCTCCCTGCTACAGAGGAAGGCTTCATTTGAGCTGCTTTCTGAAATACAGCCTCATTTCCTAACCTCTCCTTTGTATCTCAGTGGCAGCACTGGCAAGAGGGCTCAAAACACGAACCACATTAACCTTCTTCCATCCTAAACCAACCCATTATCAAGGGGGCTCGTGCCTGTGTACAACTGCTGCAGTGTCACTGAACAAGAATGTTCCCCCAAATCCTCCAGCATTCCTCAGGAACGGCTGGTTTGTTAAACAGTTGAATTCTTTTGCTTTCTCTGGGGACTCTTTCTCAAAACAGTGAAGTAACAGTTTTAACTTCCCAGTTGTATGAAAGCTGGTACGAACTGATCCTTCCTCCCAGGGTTTGCTGATATGCCTTTATGAAGCATCCTTGGAAACTCCACCTCATTGTGTCTGTATATATTTCTACATCTATAAGTTTTACCATCACCAACTTCCCATATCACCATTAAGAAAGGTTGGAATAAACCAGGTACTACATGAACTCATAGGAAAGTGCTGGAGACCAGAGTGCAGCAACACCCTCATGTCTCTGGGTAGACCCTTGATGAATGCCCACTGGGTCTTTAAAAGCTGATTTAGCACTTCCCCCCAGTCCAGCATGGCCAAGCGCACAAGGTCTCAACCTGTGCAGTGCCCTGTCTCATGGCTCCCAGCTACAACACTGAAGCTGCAATGCAGAAGCCAGCTCAGGTCCAACAGAGACTAATAGCTCCAGCTTCACCTCTAAGGAAGCTGGATCTGAGACAGCTCCTGCAGAGTCAGACTGTCTGTGCACTGACCTTGGGAGGCTGGATGCAGCGCTGAACCTGCATGAACACAGACAGCTCCTAATGTACTTCCTGAAGCCAGAACAGGGAGCAAGTGCAGTGTGGAATCCACATGGAGGAAGCTTGGATCTGGAAAAACCAGAGCTAGTAATAACTGGGCTCCAGCCATCAGCAAGCAAATCCTTTGCACGGTTTGGGCACCATATTCCCTAATGCTCTGGTTTCTGTAGCATGTTCCTAAAATACCAGATCTGCTTCTGCATGGACATGTAGGAGTCCACTGGGGCTTGATAGGTTGATCTGTGATAACACAAAATGAAGCTCACTTTTTCCAAACCAGAGCTGTCCCAGTCTTAACTGCTCCCCTACAGGCCTAAGCCTGAAACAAAGCCCATTCTGTATTGCAGCCCAGTATGTCCACAACCCAGTTAAGCCAGTTGTTGTGCTGAAAAACAGGACAGGAGAACAAAGTCATTATTTGGACTGCTTCCGCATCAAATGTTTTCCTGCCATTCAGAATCACCTGATTATTTCTTTAAACATGCAGCATATTCCTGCTCTTCCATGAGCCCATTCCCAGATCAGGTGCTTGTTTTTAAACGACACTTCTGCCCACAGCTCCATCACTGCTGATGATACAGAGACTTTTCCTGTAGCCAGCCCAACCTGCTTTGAGACACTTCCTGCTTCCTCACTGGGAATTTTTAAGCAATACTGACCTCTAGCTATTTTGCTGAGCTATTTAACCAACTCAGGCTGCTTTCTGAAAAGGCTGCATCAGCTGCCAAGACCTAATAATATTGATCATTTAAAGAAGGAGCCAGATCACAGGATATTACCATCTCAGCTATTTACCTCCCCACAGTTGTCAGCAGG